AAGAAGAAGCCAATGCTATTGAAACGTCAAAGACTCAGATTGATTTTTCAGTTAAAATCTAAAAATCAGTCAGTTAATGAGGGACTCCATAGGAAAGGCCTTTGGCCACCTGCAGTGCAATGAATTAATGTGGCTTTTCCAGTCATAGTCTTTGTAACTCCCACAGATGATTCTGCAAATAAGGTGCTTGTGGCCCTCCAAGAACATTGGACAGCCTGTTAATAATGAAATAAGATGTATGGAACCCTTGTGAAGTTGGGACTATGTAAATAAGGTGTATGGAACCCTAACAAGGGGATTTGTCCATTTTGCCATCCCACTGACCTTAAAATGAACACTCCTAGAGGCAGGAAGAGAGGATCTCACTACCATCAAGAAAGAAGAGCTGGGAGTGGATGGCACCCTTTGTACCCAGGGTCCCTGCAGTGGGAACTTCCTAGACCTGGAAGATGGACTTTTACACCAGAGACAGCAAGAAACGGCGAGAAGCAGCAGCAGAGAAATGATGGCAGGAGGACCAAGATGGCACGGCGGGCTTCTTGGCTCACGGCGCAAAGTGACTACACCAGTGGTAGGTATACCAACCCACAGGGCCAGAAACCGAGAGCCTTCAGGCAGCTTCCAGCATAAGCAGCGTGCTTCCGGGCACTTACCAGTGGAACTGAAGAGCTTTGTTACCCTTGCTCAAGCAGGCCCAAGGGCTAAGGACGAGAGAGGAGGCCTGTCCTGAGGAGGCCGAGTGGAGTCTGTCCTCAGAGGGCCGAGAGAAACGTTTCCTCGGGGAGCTGAGAGAGCTGTCCTGCACTGAAGAAGGGAGACTTTGCTATCTAACCCCATAATCGTGAGCATGGTCTGAGTTCTATGTAGCCACTGCAATGAGTTACTGAACCCAGCAGCACGGTGGAAACTGCCATGGAAGGGACGGCTGGTGCCTGTATTGGTGAAAAGCTATCACCTCCACCTCATAGGAATCAGCCTTGGGCTGATACTGATCTTGATTCTCTCTCTTCCCCCTTTTGAAGTTAGATGAGAAGGTCTGAGGATGCCACCACACCATGTTTCCACCACCCCACCCCACCTGCCCTGGCACTGGCCTCTGGGACCCAAGAGAATGGCTCTTGGCATGGCACCTCTTTTCCTTAACTGGAATGTCTTTATTCAGCCTTTCCCTTCTTCCTCTGCCCAGCTCTGGCCCTCATCCAGCCGTCACTTTCACCCCAGGTACCACCCTCTTCCCTGTCCTATTAGTGGTTGGGACAGAGGACTGATGACCTGGAGACTAAAGAAGATAGTGTTGGGGTGTACCCCCAGCCCAGGTCTGAGTTCCCATTACAGTGCTCTACTCTGAGACAGGGAGACCCTTGTCAGACATGGGACACAGGAAGCTGAGATTGTCCCATAGGTTGACGTTCCTGGGCAGGTAAATGGCAAAGGTGCCTGGGTGTGTGTGGCAGGTGCAGTGCGTAGCTACTTAAGCCAGTTTGTCCTGTTTCTGCCACTTGCAACCAAGAGAGACCACACTAAGGCACTGGAGGGAAGCAGGCTGGAGGTCAGGAGAGACAGGGAGGAGGAAGGGGTCACATGGACTGATCCCATCTCCTTCCTAGAAACAGCATCATGTCTGGAAAGGCTCTAAGAGATCAGTGGTCAAGACTCATAGTTCAGACAAGAAACTGAGGCCCTGAGTGAGGGCAGAGACCTGCCCCAGGTCACTTATTACCAAAGGGCCAGAACTTGAACTTAGCATACAGCCTCTCAAGGCAGGGCTGTATCCACCACCCTGGCTGTGGCCTAGGCTGGATCCCAGAGTCCAAGGACCAGGTGGCCACTGCAGAAGCCCCAGTGCTTTGTGATGGAGGTATGATGGGACAAAGGAAGAAAAGCCATTGCAGGCTCGTGAGCTCAGCCCTGCCCAGCACGTGCAGACCCTCGTCCACAGAGGGCATGCCAGTGCTTGTCAGCATCTCTGTGAGGTGAGCGGAGTCTGCCGGAGGCCACCGAGCCAGAAAGCGAGCTAGGATTTGAACCTGGAACCTCCTCTTGCTGAGCGGTAGACCACAGGCCACCACCCTGTGGGAGGATACCACATGGTTTAAGAGCAGGGTCCTGCTATGGCCACCCACAGAGGGAATAAGAGTGTGGGAATGTCACAACTGGGGCCCCCAGCCTTCCATCTAAGCCCTGTGTCCCCAGTTTCAGAGCGTTCAGGCGTGGGCAGCTCCTCGGCCTCTTGACTTTCTAATCTCCCTCCCCTCCCACCCTCTCCCCAGGGAAGGATGCCCTTCTGATCACCCTCTGGCTCTTGGATGCTCAGATAGCGGCATCGAGGTGGTCTCTCCCTCTCTTTCCCTACCTCCAACCTCCCCTTTGAGAAATGGAAGGGGCTCAAATTGCTATTGGGCCCCTTGGGTTGGGGATGAGGGTACAAAGAAAAGGTGTGTAGGAGGGGCTGAGGTGAGGGTGGCCAGGCTGGGCATCCGGATGGAGCAGTGTGTGACAGGCGAGTGGAAGCCAGGCAAGAACAGGCAATTGGTTTCCCATTGGTACTGAGCGAGCTTCTAACCCTCATCAGCCACTGGTCTGTCACAGCCCGACTCCCTTTTCAGGGGCTGCAGCAAGAGGCTGTGAGCCTATTCCTGTAAGGCAGCTTCCCCAGCAGGGCCTCCACACCCAAGCCTATTTAATCCTCACGACAACCAGGTAAGGCAGGGGCTAACCTCCCCATTTTACAGCCAAGGCAACTGAGTCCCAAAGAGGTTAAGCATTCTGACCAAAGTGACATGGCCAACCAGTCTCCAGCGTAGCCCCTTGTCCCCACCCCGAGCCCGCTGTCCTAGCCTGAGCACCTCACACTCCCTCTCTGGGGCCCATTCCCCTGTGGAAGAACCACCAGCACAAGTCATGCTTTGGTCTGTGATGGTCAATGTCTTTACTTCTAAAGCATACATTGGACTCACTATATATTAACATCAAAAGTGGCTACCTAAAATGGAGTCATTCTTTTTAAAAATCCAACTTCTCATTTTTATATAAGATCCAAAATGACATGAAATTAAACTATACAGTGTAATGAATAGTATAACAAAATGCTTTTAGAAAGCAAAATTAAAGAAAAAAAATTAGCAGGTGGGACTTTGAGAGCTTGGGTTCCATATCTTTTGAGGCATTATGACTAAGAGCCAGCGCCAAGGAGGGAGGACCTGCCCCTCTGTGGGCACAGGAGGGGGACCAATCAGATGAAGAAGGCAGACAGGGACTTTTCAGACTCCCTAAGGTGAGAGTGAGGCGAAGCAGCGTCTCCCTGCTCCTCCGGGCCCGTGGTGTACTTATGAGCATCTTCTTTCAAGACTCATGACCAGGGAGAGGTGGGGCTGGGGAGGGCAGGGAGCAGAGCTGGGTTCAAAATAATAATTTGGATAATAAAGATTCCTCTGGGCTTCCCAAAGGTGCCTGGGTGGCATAAATGGTTTGTGATAAACCAACTGAAAGGTTGATGGTTCAAACCCCCCTAGAGGTGCTGTGGGAGAGGCCTGGGAATCTGCTTTAATACAGATCACAGACAACAAACCCTACGGAGCAGCTCTACTCTGTAACATATGGAGTCACCATGAGTCGGAATTGACTGCACGTCAACAGTTTGATTTTGGTTTTTATGGGCTTCCCGAGGAGAAGCCAGTTGAGTCTGTGGAGGACCCAGGCCATCCACCTGCCAAGCACATCATTTACTTCTATCCTTGACAACCTACTTCCTTTGCCCATTCCCTAAGCCCTGTGGCAGCCAGAGACCCAGGAGGACTGACCCTAGGAGGAGCCAAGGGAGAATGTGCTGGCCTTGGAAACAGCTGGGCAACCTGTCAGCCAGATTGATGGCTTAGGGGGAAATTCCCATGGGATGGGAGAGCACCTGGGGTCAGAGGCTGTGCCTGGCCACACCCCTGATGCTTTGGTTCATGTAATTCGGTGGGGGGGGGGGGAATCCTTGTGTAGACCTACTGGGGAGATCCTGGCTGGACCTGGTGGTCTAACATGCCCCATGTCACACACACCAGCTCTGTCTGGCTAACAGCCCACTCCCTACCACAGCACTGATGATGCTGTAAAGGCAGGAGGAGAGGTTCCAAAACAGCAGAGTCAGCCCTCAGCTCAAAGAGGCTGCCTTTGCTTCTTTTCCCTGGACAGCACTGTCCCCAGCCAAAGGTGTGAGGGGACCTTCTCTGGACCAGCCCCCTTGTGGCTGGGCCAGCCACTCTCTAGGTAGACCAACCCTGAGACCTCACCCCACACACATCTTGCCCATCAGATACTTGGCAGGTGCAGGTATCCCTGGTGGGAGCAGACAAAAAACGTCTGGCTCACTGCCTGCCTCCCTGGTCCCAGAACCACACCCTACTTCTAGACTGTTCCCCTGAACAGTAATTTAATGGACTATGCCCTACATCCAAGGTCCCTACATCCAAGGTGGCTCAAACATTATGCACTTGACTATTAACCTACAGGTTGGTGGTTCAAACCACCCAGTGGTGCCACTGAATGAAGGTCTGAGGATTTGCTTCCCAAAAGATTACCACCAAGACTGTTCTATGGAGCACTTCTACTCGTAACACACGGGGTGGCCACAGGTCCACTTGATGGCAACTGGTTTGGTTTTTGGTTTTTGGTTTTTCCCGACATCTGACTGACTCGGTCCAGGCCCTTCTCCCAGGCTCTGCCATGGTCAACCTCTTTCCTATCTGGTTTCCAATTAGGCTGAAAGGATTTGGGAAGGTTGGGCTGGCATCACCTCCTCCTTGGGGCAGGGAGGGGTGGTCTGACTTCCAGCCTGGCTCCAGGTCCCCTGAACAAATCTAACCCCACGATGGGAAAGAGGCCCAGAATCAGGCCCAACCACAGCAATCTAACCACGCCACCACCAAGCCAGGAGTGCTGGGCAACCACCTCCTCCACCGGCCCACTGCCCTCTCTGTTCTCACACTCGAGCCCTCAGAACACCTGCTTCAGGCCTGGTGGGGGCCCTGGGGTGGGCTCAGGGCAGGCAGGCAGCCACCTGGTAGGTGCCCTCGGCAGCGGCAGCACTGTGCTGCGCGCTGTGTTCCTGCAGCAGGGCCACGTCCAGGAAGCGCTCGCCGCACCACACGCACTTGAACTGCTGCTCCCGCGCGTGCACACCCTGGTGCTTGTTGAGATGCTCACGCTGCTTAAAGGCCTTGTCACAGTTGGGGCACTTGTACGGCTTCTCGCCCGTGTGCACCCGCCGGTGCCGCTGCAGGTCAGACGCGTACTTGAAGCGCTTCTCGCAGTCCAGGCACTTGAGTGGTTTCTCGCGGGCGGGGTCGCAGCGGTGCTGCACAAACTCCGAGGAGGAGAAGAAGCGGCGCTCGCACAGGGTGCAGCGCAGGGGCTTCTCCGCGGCTGCGCAGTGGGCCAGCTGGTGCTTCTGCAGGGCTGACGCCCGCTTGTAGGCCTTGCTGCACACCGGGCACTTGAAAGGCCGGTCGGCAGTGCCCGGCAGGCACTTGTGCCGCAGCAGCTCGGCCGACTGGTCGAAGCCCTTCTGGCACACGGGGCACTTGAAGAGAGTCTCAAGGGTGTGCACGTGCTGGTGGTAGAGCAGGTGGCTGGGCTGCCCGAAGCCCTTCTCGCACAGGCCGCACTTGAACGGCTCCTCTGTCTTGTGTGTGCGCCGGTGCCGCATCAGCGCATACTGCTGCTTGAAGCCCATGGGGCACAGGTCGCACTTGAACGGCCGCTCGGCGCTGTGCGTGCGCTCGTGCTGCCGCAGGTCCGACGGCCGCTTGAAGGCCTTCTGGCACTCGCCGCAGCGGAAGGGCCGCTCCCCGCTCGGCGTGCACGGGTGCTGCAGGAGCTCTGACGACTCCTTGAAGTGCAGCTCACACACATTGCAGCGGAACAGGTGGTGCTCGCCCGAGTGCGCGTACATGTGGCGCACCAGGTGAGAGCGGTGCTTGAAGGTCTTCTCGCAGACGGCACACTTGTAGGGCCGCTCGGCGCTGTGGGTCCGCTTGTGGTGCACCAGGTGGGATGACTGGCTGAAGCTCTTGTCACACAGCGTGCACTTGTACGGCTTCTCACCCGTGTGGATCCGCTCATGCCGCGAGAGCTCCGACAGGTGCTTGAAGGGCTTCTGGCAGATGGGGCAGCTGTAGGGCTTGTCGGTCTGTTCAGCAGTGGTGACAGTAGGTGCCGGGGGTGGTGGGGGCAGTGACGGGGCAGCCGTGCCCGCGGGCTCAGCTGCCTCGGTTGGCTTGTAGGTCTTCTCACAGATGGAACATTTTACAAGGCCCCCAGCCCCGCTGTGTGCACTGTGGTGCTGTGCCAGCGAGGTGAGCAGCGAGAAGCCCATTTTACAGACCCCACAAACGAAAGGCTTCTGTTCGGCCTGGACACACTGGTGCTCCAGCAGGTCGGTGGCCTGGTGGAAGATCTTGAGACACTGCGTGCACTGGAACGAGCGGTCGTGGCCCGCCAGGCACTGGTGCTCGTGCGGGCTGGCCAGGTGCGCCAAGTCATGTCCGCACACCCCGCACTTGGGGCCCGGCTCGCCTGCTGCCTGCAGGGGCGCATGCTGCGGGGGCTGCAGGCCCGGGTCGGGCTGCAGGAGGATGCCATAGACAGCGCAGCCCAGGGGATTCTCAGCCGTGCCTGTGGGCAGCGTGTGCTCGGCCAGGGCCGGTGGCGGCTCCGCATGGTGCTGAGGCTGCGGGGGCTGCGGCTGCTGCGGCTGCGTCTGCGGCGGCTGCTGCCAGCTTTCTGACATACTTGGGAAGAGGAAACAGGGTTTGGAGAGTAATGGCTTCAGTTTCCCACTTCAGGTGACTCAACCCAGAGAGAAGCTGCCCAGGTTTGGGGATGGACAAGGACCTCAGAGAAGGCACAGCAGACGGTCTGACTCATAAACCCGGAAGTTAGGCTACAGGGCTTTGTCTACAGGACAGAGGACTCTTCGAGATAGGGTCCCAGCCTGTCAGGGAGGCTCTGCCTTCCCCGATGATCAGTTCTGTGGAGAAGAGAGAAATTGTGAGCGTGAGGGAGGCAACATGAGCAGCCGTCCCACGAGCCCTCTTCCTGTCCTGCCTGCACTCACCACATGGACATAAACCACCTCAGCAAAGGGAGAGATGTTCGGGCCTGGGAGGTCTGCTCCCTTTTCACACGTGATCGACGAAGTCTGCTGGCAGCTCAGCTCTTTAGGCAAAGGGGATGGCAGAGGTCTCCACTCCAACCCACCCTCAGTCTCCCATCCTTGGGCCTGAGCACCCCAGCCTCCCCGGGTTTCCTCCAGCTCCCTGCCAACCCTCTTTAACAAGGTGTCTCACAGGTGAGAGACTTAGACACTGAGCAGCCCGTGATACACAGAAGCCACAAATTGTCCTGTCTCTACGTCAGCTCTAGGGGCCATCCAAATCCAAACCAACCTACTGCCACTGAGTCGATTCCCCCCATCGGGTTTCCAAGGCTGTAAACCTTTACAGAAATAGACTGTTTCATCTTTCTTCACAGAGTGGCTGGTGGGATCAAACTGCTGACCTTTTGGTTAGCAGCCCAGTGCCTTAACACAGCACCACCAGAACTCCTTCTATGTGCCAGTATCCAAGAAAATAATTTTGCAAATAAATTCTTACTCGGAAGCCCAATATATAAAACAGATAGACATGGTGGGGCTCTGGTTGATGCCTCCCTGGCCTGCCAGCTCCTCTCCTTTGCTACCTTTAGTGAGGACTCAGGGAACCATGGCAGCCTGCTGGATCTAAGAGGCCAGGCCACCTAGATCTGAGGATCGACAGCAAACTGCCTCTGGCAGCCCACATTTAGGGCAACACCACGAAACCATGGACCATTTAAAAACCCTCTCCTGTGAATGGGCTGACCCACACCCCTCAACTATGCCCAGGCTACCCACATAACAAGTATGAGTGACTTTGCAAGGCCCTGGACTAGTGGATGACAGGGGTTAGATGATAGATCCACAGACTCCCCCTGGCCCAGTCTCTATGTCTGCTCCATGTTGCAGAATCTCTCTGATTCCCCAGAACTTGTGGGAAAATGCAAGCAGATCCATGGGTTTGCCTCCACAACGTGGGAAGGAGCATGCTAACCTCGGGGTATTTCTCCTCATCGCGTTTCCTGAGACAACCCTTTTTCCTCTGCTCCAAGGCTGAACGTTCTGGGTAATCAATAGAAGGTAAAGCATACCCATCCCAGGCAAATCTCTAACTCACCACTTTGTGGCAGCATAAGGTAACCACAGCAGGAGGGAGGAACTTTGAGAGTCAGGTGCAACCCACTTCCAGGTTCCCAACTCATCTGCCTCTCACATTTAAAAGTTTGTAAGTTTTCTATTCAGGGAAGGAGAAGGAAGATGATGCCCTCGTAGGCCACCCTGGCCTCTTTAACTGTTCTGCCAAAGAAACCCAAGATTTAGGCTGAAAGCTGTCATCCTCAGCATCTTCCGGGAAGAGGAAGGAAAAGAGCTGCTGTGTCGGGCGAAGCGGCAAGTTGCATGAGCAAGTGGGTACCAGTGGGTTATCTAAGCCTCCCCAGGAAAGAGGGCAGTGGGCTGCTCTGAGCGCCTTCTGGGTCTAGTTGAGCCAATCCAACTGTTTCCTTGGGCATGAATGGCTGCCAGACTGAGAGCCTCTCAGCCTGGGCTCCCAGTCCCACTGACCACCCTAGTCCTTCTCTTCCAGAAAGGTGCAGCTGGGAGGCCTCTCTGATCAATTCCAGAAGGAAGAGAAGAGGGGAGAGGACGCCCCCACCTGCGCCCCAGCCCAGCCCTTCCGCCTCCTTAGGAAACCAAGTTGAAAAACGATCACCTCCCCGCCTGGCCCAGCTGGACTGCCTCCTGTCAGCCCTGCCCGGGATGGTCGGTCCGCTGAGGCCCTCCAAGGAAGGCCCCAGGGCCGCAGGCGGGGCCCAGGAAGCGGTTGCGCGCCGACGCCGGGCCTGGGCAGCCCAGGAGCTCAAGAGGCCACCGAGTCGTACCCGGAGGTGGAGGGGGGCAGCCAGGCCCGCCAGTAAAAGGGGAGCAGCAGGCGCTGGGATGGCCCCCAGCTGCGGCCCCGGGCGCTCTGCCGCTCACCTGCTCTAGGCCGCCCGTGGGGCCGGACGCGGGGAAAGCGTGCGGGCGGCAACCGGCTGCTCTCACGGCTGCCCCTTTATTCCGGCTCCATCGGCGGCGACGCGGCCTACGCGCGCTGCCAATCCCCGGCCTCGCGTAGCGGCGGCGGCCGGCCGGGGGGCGGGGGACAGGCTAGCGGAGGTTCGGACAGAGGAAGCGAAGCTCGCGGCCGGGCGGCGGGGCTGGGGTGGAGGAGCGCCGGGAGGGCGGGCAGACAGATGGACGGCCTTGCAGAGACAGGCGGACCGGCGGACGACGCGGAGCCAGGGAGGCGGGGCCGGGGGAGGAGCGGCAGCCCGGGCAGCAGCAGTGGCTGCGGGAGGAGCTGGCGGTGCGGAGCGAGGCCGCCCCCTGCTGGGGACCCTGCGGCCCGGCCGTGCGGTCACGCAGAACGCGCGGGTCGATCTTCCAGTTGGCGGGGTAGGCGAGCCTCAGCTGACCAAGGGGGGCGCTCCGCTTCTGACGTTGCCGCTTAGTCTTAGAGGAGTGGGCTCCCGAGGTCTAGCCCCTGGCCTGATCCCAGCATTCTAGAGGAGGGGCTTCCAAGACCCTCAGATCTTCTGAAACTCACTCGTCTCTAACAGCTCAGCTTAACCCCTAAGGGAGAGGGTCCTGGGGCTCGGACTTGGGCCAGGCTTGAGGAGGAGATTCCAGGACCTCTGATCTTGGCCGAACCCCGAGGACAGGGATCTCCGCCAGGTCCAGCGCGCTAATCCAAGGATCATGACTGAGAGGTCTGGTCCCGAGTAGCTGCAGACAGGGCAGCGCTCAGAGCGATCTGTGAAATGGGCACACATGGGTAAGGGGATTCCGGGAGGCACGGGAGAGTAACTCAAAGCGCAACCAGCAGAAAATCAGCGTGGTCTTAGATCTCAGCGTCTTCACTACAGTCTTAAGGGGCCCCGCCCACTCAGCCCCGGCCCGCCCCAGAGCCCCGCCCCTCTAGGCCCCGCCCCGAGGAGGTGCTAGCCCAGGCCACGCCTTAGCGAGGGTACTTCCGGCGCAGCGGAACTTGGGACTCGGGGTGAAGTTGGCGGTTGACAGGCCTTAGTTTCTTGGTGGATCCATGAATGCGCCGCCCCTGGTGGGCTACAGCAGCAGCGGCTCAGAGGATGAGGCCGAAACCGGGGCCCGGGCCCGACCGGGGGCTGGAAGTTGCGGTCGGTAAGGACTGAGGGAGTATCTGGGGAAGGGGCGGATTAGCTCAAAACCTGGACTGAGCTCCAGCGCTTTGAGGGGCGGGGAGAAGTATGGTGACTGTGCTGTTCGCCGGGATGGAAGCGCAAGGAGAAAGAAGGATCTAGAGGGCACCCCTCGATAAGGCCCCAGAGTGCCCCCACCTGGCCAAGCCAAAGTTGGGATGCAGGAAACGTGGGTTCGTGTGCAACCTCTGCCCCTGGCCCACCGCATATAATAGCTCAAGCCCCTTCACCATCCGAGGTCTTTTTCCTTTTTTAAACACAGTTGTAATAATAATAACCAAAGATCTGGAGAGCTGGTTACTCATTCTTCCATTGAATATTCACTGAGCACCAGGCCGGGGACTGGGAACTCAGCAGTGAACAGAACCATCGAAGTCTCTCGTGGTGCTTAGGGTCTAAAGTGCCAGCCCTTATGCTTGCTGAGTGGTATATAAGCAGTCTCTGAGTTTGCACCATCAGGTGAAAGTACCCTTTACAGATGAGAAAACTAAGATCCAGAACAACAATTAAAAAAACCCAAGCCCACTGCCGTCCAGTCGATTCTGACTGGTAGCGACCCTCATTGGGTTTCCGAGGTGATAAATCTTTGCCCAGTCTTCCTTCCAGGGAGTAGCTGGTGGGTTTGAACTGCCAGACTTCTGGTTAGCAGTCAAATGCTATAGGCACTGCACCACCAGAGCTAGAAAGGGGACGTTGTTTGCCCAAGACCACAGAGCTAGGAAGTAGTTCTCAGCCCAGCCCTGTACAGCTAGGGAACATGTCCTCTAAACCATAACTTGTGGCTTGCCCAATGGTTTCCTACAAGGACTGTCTGTACCCTGCTGAGTTCTACCTCCCAGAGTTGCTAGGAGACCCCAATGAAATATGCTGGGAAAGAGCTTTGTGGTTATCTAGAAGCTACTTCTGCACCCTGATGGTGCACAATTAAGCACTTGGCAACTGACCAAAAAGTTGGCAGTTCAAACCTACCCAGCATCTCTGCTGGAGAAAGACTGGTGACGTGCTCTTGTAAAGATTATAAAACCCTGTGCAGCAGTTGTCTGTCATATGGGGGTCACTGAATGGAAAGTCTCAATAGCACCAAACAACAGCAACCAGAAGTTACTTCAAGTAAAACCTAAAACGAAACCCATTGTCACTGAGTCGATTCTGACTCATAGTGACTCTGTAAGCCAGAGGAAAATGGCCCCATAGGGTTTCCAAGGCTGTAAATCTTTATGGAAGCAGACCGCCACATCTTTCTTCCACCACGTGCCTGGTGGATTCGAACTGTCGATCTTTTGGTTAACAGCCAAACATTTAACCACTGCACCACCAGGGTTCCTTGTGCTTCAAGTACCTGGTTGGAAATGATGCTCAGAGTCAGCATGTATAAGGGGTTACAAGTTCTGTTGTATGTACAGAGAATGCCAGGAGGGTAAATGTACTTATTTTCTCTTTTCCAGTTCCAGTGGCCACACCCCTGTTCCCAGCCAGAGGTTGCCGGTGCCGGACAGTGTGCTGAATATGTTCCCCAGCACTGAGGAGGGGCCTGAGGATGACAGTGCCAAACACGGGGGGCGGGTACGCACCTTCCCCCATGAGCGTGGCAACTGGGCCACCCATGTTTACATGCCCTGTGAGTAATGTGTGAAAGGCTAGGGGCGTACGCCAGTGGGTGCTTCTCTCTTGCTGAAGTCAGCTCAGCAGGAAGAGAAAGAGTATCAAGAATCGAGGGTTTTTTGTTTTTAAACTTGATTTCAGTTTTGAATTCATTGCTTGAAATGTTTTCATTAATCCTGAGTGTGATTCTCCCTGCTCATGTAGAGATGACCAGGGAAGGAGCTGGGGCAGCGTATTAAGGCCATCTCAGGATGAAGCTGGCATTTTATTTTTAAGAGGGCCATAGGTGTGCTGGGTTTGAGTCCTGTTTCAGCCCTGAAGAGTGGGTGGCAGGCAGAAAATGCCCAGGTTTCACAGTCAGACCTCCCTCCACTACCCAGTACTCTGGGTGCCGGTCAGCAAGTTACTCGACTTTTCAGAGCCTCAGTTTCCTCATCTCTGAAATTAGAGTAATAGTATGGACTACCTATCTCCTGGTGCCATGGTGCCCACGGCATTTGACTGCTAACCAAAAGGCTGGCGGTTCAAACCACCAGCCACTCCTCAGAAGGAAGACTGGGCAATCTACTTCTGTAGAGATACTGCCTTGGAAACCCAAGGAGGGGTCGCTATGAGTCGGAATTGTCTTGATGGCAGTGAGTTTGGTTTTGGTTTGGTTTAGAATGTTTCTGATTCTAAATTTAGAATCTAATCTGATTCTAGATTTAGAATGAATCAGATAATCTGTCAGATTCTTAGCACAGTTCATAAAGTAAATGGTAGCTCTTACTGTTTTGTGTTAGGTCAAGTAAACTCTTGGAACCTTCATTTCCTCCAAGTAGAATGGGGTGACTCTGGTCTCACCAGGCAGTTTGGGGAATTTTGAGTTAGACACTGACATGAGAAGACTTTGGACCATGCAGCTCTGGTCACATGTAGGATCAAAAATAAATGATATATGAACATACAAGCATGGTCAATGTAATGTTCTTTGTCTTTGTGAAAATTGGGAGCATTCTAAATGTCTGTCGGTAGGGTTCTGACAACAGAGATGTGGTGATCTTGGTGGATCACTATGGAGTTGTGGGAGCCTTGGTGGGGCAGTGGTGGTGCACACAGCTGCTACCAAAAGGTTGGTGGTTTGCATACCTGGCGATTTGCTCCTGTAACGAGTACCCCTTCTGTCAGATTGATTCCCACTCATAGCAACTCTGAGGGACAGAGTAGAGCTGCCCCATAGGGCTTCCAAGGCTAATCTTTACAGAAGTGGACTGCTATATCTCTCTTCCACAGAGCAGCTAGTGGGTTTGAACTGCCAACCTGCACATTAGCAGCCAAGCCCTTCATTATGGTACTTTTCCCGTAATGATTACAGCCTCAAATACCCTATGGGGCAGTTCTGCTCTGTCACGTGGGGTCACCATGACTTGAAATTGACTTGATGTCACTTAACAACAACAACAACATGGAGCTATGAAAAAAAAATGAGTTTGAACTCTTTGTACTGAGGTGGAAAAAACAAAAAAAACAAACTCACTGCTGTCAAGCCGTTTTTTGACTTGGGTTTCTGAGGCACTGTTTCTACAGAAGTAGATTGCCCAGTCTTTCTTCTGAGGAGTAGCTGGTGGGTGTGAACTGCCAGCCTTCTGGTTAGCAGTCAAATGCCTTAGGCACTATGCACCAGAGCTCCTGATGTGAAAAGATACCCACAATGTTGTGTGATATGAAGAAACTTAGTTGCAGAGTAGTTTGAGTGGTATGCTCTCATTTTCATTAAACAGATAAACTATACACATTGGTACATACACTGGGGAACGGGCTGGGGAAAGATGTACCTACATTTGCCAGTCTTTATCTCTAGGGTAGTGGTCTTGAAAGTGGGGTGTATATGCCGTGGGGGTAAGGTCATGATGAGTCATTGGGTATAGGAAGAAAACTAGTAGAACTTTTTCATGTACTAGTTTTTTGTTTTTTTTAAGAAATAGTTTTGAAAATGTACATTTTGTAACACATCTTACAGAGTAGCACACACTTGTAATTTATAGATAAAAGACACGTTTATTGGAGATACGTGTTCAAACTTGTTTTACTAATGGGCTGTGTGATCAAAATAGTTTGATCTGTGCTAGGTGATGGGATTTCAGGGGCCCCTGCTTTCTCCTTTTATTGCTTTATTACTTGAATTCTTTACAAAGAACAATTTTTACTTCCACCACAATTTTTACTTCATGTTAAAGTATTATTAGACTACGTAGATGGAGGCTGCTCTCAAGATGATTTTCTCTCAAAACCTGAGTACAGAGGACCTCTCCCTCTGCCTTTGGGGCTTCTGTACCCAGCCGTGTCTCCTTGGCTGAGAGAACAGCCCACCGTCTCCACTCTGTTCCAGATGAAGCTGGGGAGGAGTTCCTGGACCTGCTGGATGTGTTGCTGCCCCACGCCCAGACCTACATCCCCCAGCTGGTAAGGATGGAGGAGTTCCACCTTAGCCTGTCCCAGAGCGTGGTTTTGCGCCACCACTGGATCCTCCCCTTCGTGCAGGCTCTGAAAGACCGTCTGACCTCCTTCCAGAGGTGAGTGCTTCCCCTACCTCGCATCTCCTTCCCCTCCAAGGCTCCCGCTTTCCTGGACATCTGTGGGGTGTAGGTGTGGGGCATACTACCCCAGCAAACAGGACAAACCTAAAGGTCAGGCCGTAGGACATCTGGGGCTGTCTGCTGTGCTCAGCATCCTATGCAACCTTGGACGTGCCACATCAACTCTTGAAGCCTACAGTTGCTTATCTACAAAGAGGTCATAGTCATAGAGGTGGCTGGTTCATATTGGGCTTGTGACAGTGAAATGTGATCATGCAAGCCCTCAACGTGGCATCTAGCAAAGGAGAACTTATGGCAGGCTCACAACTGGACTCGCTTCGGATTTTATCTACCAGCCTATGGTTTGCTTCTCTTTTTTTCCTCCCCTCACTGCCTTGGGTTGTCAGTTTGTCACACTGTGGCAGTTTGCATGTTGTTGTGATGTTGGAAGCTGTCCCATTGGTATTTCAAGTTACCTGCAGGGTCACTCATGGTAGACAGGTTTCAATAGGGCTTACAGAGTAAGAGACACTAGCAAGAAGGACCTGGTGATCTCCTTACTTAAAAAATTGGCCAGTGGAGACCTTATGACTAGCAGCAGAACACTGTCTGATACAGTGGCAGGAGATGAGCACTTCAGGTTGGAAGGCACTCAAAACATGACTGGGGAAAGCTGCCTCCTCAAAGTAGAGTTGACCTTAATGACGTGGATGGAATAAAGCTTTCAGGACTTTGATTGGCTGATGTGGCTCAAAATGAAAAGAAACAGCTGCAAACATCTATTAATAATCAACAGGAAATGTATGCAGTAAGAATCTAGGAAAATTAGAAACCAAAAACCAAACCAAAATGAAATGGAACACACAAAGATCGATATCCTAAGCATTCGTGAGCGGAAGTGGACTGGTATTGGCCATTTTGAATCAGACAATCATATGGTCTCCTATGCTAGAAATGATAAATTGAAGAGGAATGGCATCACATTCATCATCAAAAAGAACATTTCAAGACCTATCCTGAAGTATAACACTGTCAGTGATAGGGTAACACCCACACATCTACCAGGAAGACCAGTTAATACCACTATTCAAATTTATGCACCAACCACTAATGGCAAAGATAAAGAAATTGAAGATTTTTGCCAACTTCTGTGGCCTGAAATTGATCAAATATGCAATCTATATGCATTGATAATTACTGGAGATTGGGAAGTGAAAGTTAGAAACAAAGAAGAAAGATTGGTAGTATGGCCTTGGTGGTAGAAATGATGCTAGAGATTGCATGATGGAATTTTACCACCAACAACTTAATTCATTGCAAATACTTTTTTTTCAACAATGGTGACTATGTATTTGGACCTCACCAGATGGAATACACAGGAATCAAATCAGTTATATCTATTGAAAGAGATGATGGAAACACTCAATATCGTCAGCCAGAACAAAGCCGGAACAGACCATCAGTTACTCCTGTGCAAGTTCAAGTGGAAGCTGAAGAAAATTAAAACAAGTCCACAAGAGCCAAAGTACGACCTTGAGTATATCCCACTTGAATTTAGAGACCATCTCAAGAACAGATTTGACAAACTGAATGCTAATGACTGAACCCTGAATGAATTATGAGATGACATCAAGGACAGCACACATGAAGAAAGCAAAAAGTCATTGAAAAGAATAAAAAGGATGTCAGAAGAAATTTGCTCTTAAATAGCTAAAGCAAATGGAAGAAATGAGGATGTAAAAGAACTGAACAGAAGATTTCAGAAGACAGCTTGAGAGGGCAAAGGAAAGTATTAATGAGATGTACAAGGACCAGGAGTTAGAAAATCAAAAGGGAAGAACATGCTCAGCATTTCTTAAACTGAAAGAAGAAAAAATCCAAGCCTCAAATTGCAATACTGAAAGATTCTATGGGCAAGATACTAAACAATGCAGAAAGTATCAAGGGAATATGGAAGGGATACACAAAGTCACTGTACCAAAAAGAATTGATCAGTGTTCATTCATTTCAGGAGGTAGCATGTGATCGAGAATCAGTGGCACTGAAGAAAGAAGTCTAAGCTACACTCAAAGTATTGGTGAAAATAAGGCTCCTGGAATTGACGGAACACCCATTGAGATGTTTCAACAAACAAATGCAACACTGGAATGTTCAGTTGTCTATGCAAAGAAATTTGGAAGACAGCTGCCTGGTGAGCTGACTGAAAGAGATCCAGAGTTACACCATTCCAAAGAAAGGTGATTCAGCAGAATGCAGAAATTATCAAACTATGGTTAATAATCACATGCAAGTAAAATTTTGCTGAAGATAATACAAAAATAGTTGCAGCAGTATATTGACAGAGAACTGTCAGAAATTCAAGCTGGATTCAGAAGAGGATGTAGAATGAGGGATATCATTGCTGATGTCAGAGGGATCTTAGGTGAAAGCAGAGAATACCAGAAAGATGTTTACCTGCATTTTATTGACTATGCAGAGAGATTTGACAATGTGGGTCATAATAAATTATGGGTAACATTGCCAAGAATGAGAATTCCAGGATACCTGATGGTGCTCATGAGGAACTTGTACATAGACCAAGAGGCAGTTATTGGAACAGAATAAGGGTTACTGTGTGGCTTGAAATAAGCAAAGGTATATGTTAGGATTGTATCCTGCAAAAAAGGCATGGGGCTGCATCATCTGACAACCTCTGGCCTGAGAGACTCACCATCAGCATCAGCAGCCCAAGGCTGGTGCCTGGGAGGCAGAAGTCAAACGTGCCACTACCCTCCATCCTTTTTTACCGTTCTGACACCAACTGTCTCTCCCATGGCGCTCTCTTCTCTGCTGGGTTCGATAGTATATTGCAGTGGCCACTTGAGATTGTGGGGTTTATCAGAGAAGTAACAGGTTAACATACAGGTGAGGATCAGGAACAACCCAGGGTGCAGTTCCTCAGTTAGGACAGCTCCTCCTCAGCTGTGCCACAGGCCTGCTTCTCTCTGGTCTCAGCCTCTACCCTGCTCCGGCAAGTGTTAAAAGCTCTTTTAGCTCTGCCCATAGTGCCTCGAAGCACCCAGTCTGCCTGTCCATAAGCCTTAGAGCAAAGGCCCTCAGCTTTCTCGCTCTGTGGGCCCAGAAGCCCACTGCACTGTCTCCTGCTGGGTCTGCTGCCTCTCACTGCCCTCCAGTTGGTCCTGACTCAGCGACCCCTCCCTGGGTTTCTGAGGCAGTATCTCTATGGAAGTAGATTGCCCTTCCTCCTTCTGAGGAGTGGCTGGTGGGTTTGAACTGCCAGCCTTCTGGTTAGCAGTCAAATGCCTTAGGCACTATGCCACCAGAGCTCCTGCCACTTCTTGCCATTTCACATTGTCTCAGCGAAGGGTTAGAGCTCTGTCTGCTTCTCAGGTTGGAGAGGTTCAGCACAGGGATCTCAGGCCCAAGGACACACTCTACTCCTGGCTTTTCTATCTTCATGGTAGTAGATACCCCTTTTCCACCTGTGGGATGGGTCATTTGACACCTAGCCAGATGGCAAAACTGACCAAACCCACCACTTAGGGTTCCATACACCTTATATGCATGGTCACACCCCTACTAGGGTGTCATGTCCCTTATTTACATTATTAACAAGCTATGGAAGTCACAAAAACTGTGGCTAGAAGGGCCATATTGAGTAATTCACCGTATTGCATACTTATGCAATCTGTATGCTGAACAAATAATCCAAGAAGCTGGACTGTGAAGAACATGGCATCAGGATTAGAGAAAGACTCATTAATATATGCAGATGACACAACATTGCTCACTGAAAAGTGAAGAGGACTTGAAGATCTTACTGATGAATATCAAAGACTTCAGCCTTCAGTATGGATTACACTTCAACATAAAACAAAATTCATCACAACTGGACCAATAAGCAACATCATGATAAATGGAGAAAATACTGACGTCAAGGAATTCATTTTATCCGCAGTCAACATCCATGGAAGCTCTTGTTGTTGTTGTCGTCGTTAGGTGCCATCGAGTTATTTCTGACTCATTGTGACCCTAAGTACAGCAGAATGAAACCCTGCCTGGTCCTGAGGCAGCTCTGCGATCCCTGTTATACTTGAGTCCATAGCCACAGCCACTGTGTCAATCCATCTCATTGAGGGCCTTTCCCCTCCTTCACTGACTGTCCACCTTACCAAGCATGACATCCTTCTCCAGGGAATGTTCCTTCTAATAACATGACCAAAGTAGGTGAGATGGAGTCTGGCCATTCTTGCCTCCAAGGAGCATTCCGGCTGCACTTCCTCCAGAACAGATTTGTTAGATCTTTTAGCAGTCCATGGTACTCTCCGCATTCTTTGCCAGCACCACAACTCCAAAGCATCATCTTTTCTTCAGTCTTCTTTAGTCATTGTCCAGCTCTCATATGCATATGAGGCAACTGAAAATGCCATGGTTTGTGTCAGGCACACCTTAGTCCTCAAGGACACACCTTTGCTCTTCAGCACTTGAAAGAGGTCCTTTGCAGCTGATGTGCCCAGTGCTATACATCGTCTGATGGCCTGAGTGCTGCTTCTGTTGGCATCGATTGTAGAACCAAGCAACATGAAGTATTTGACAACTTCAGTCTTCTCGCCATTCATCGTGATGCTGCTTACAGGTCCAGTTGTGAGGATTTTTGTTTTCTTTATATTGAGAAATAATCCATATTGCAGACTGTATTCTTTAATCTTCATCAGGAGGTGCTTCAAGTCATCCTCACTTAGAGCAAGCAAAGTGCTTCCATGGAAGCAGCAGTCAAGAAATCAAACAACATTATTGCATGGGGAAAATCTGCTGCAAAAGACCTTTTAAAGTGTTAAAAAGCAAAGATGTCATTTTGAGGACTAAGGTGCACCCACCAGCCACTCCTCGGAAGGAAGGTTGGGCAATCCTACTTCTGTAGTGATACTGCCTCGGAAACCCGAGGAGGGGTCGCTATGAGTCGGGGCCGACTCGATGGCACATAACAACAACAACAACAACAAGGTGCACTGGACCCGAGCCATGGTATTTCAGTCACCCCATCTGCATGTGAGAGCTGAACATTGAACAGGGAAGACTGCAGAAGAATTGGTGCATTTGAGTTGTGGTGTTGGCAACGAATGCTGACTAGTCCATGGACTGCCAGAAGAATGAACAAATCTGTTTGGAAGAAACACAGCCAGAAGCAAGGACGGTGAGACTTCATCTCCCATGCCTTGAACATGTCATCAGGAGGGACCAGTCCCTGGAGAAGGACGCCGTGCTTGGTAAAGTAGAGGGTCAGTGAAAAAGAGGACCTTCAACAAGATGCACTGACGCAGTGGCTGCAACGGTGGGTTCAAGTGTAGCAACAATTGAGAGGACGGCTCAGGACTGGGCCGGGTTTTGTTCATATAGGGTCCCTATGAGTCAGAAGTGACTCCATAGCACCTACCAAAACCAAAGCAAACTCACTACCATCAAGTCGATTAGACTCATGGTGACCCCTCCTTGGGTCTCCAGGGCAGTATCTCTATGGAGGTAGATTGCCCAGTCTTCCTTCCAAGGAGTGGCAGGTGGGTTTGAACCTCCTGGTTACAATAGTACCTGACTATGACAAAAATAAAACCTGTCTGGCTTTTCTTCCTGTCAGAAAGATTTTTCTTCCTAGATGTGGCCAGATCGAACCATGCTTCTTCATGGAAGCTCTGCACTGGGTCTCCTCCCCAGGAAGCCCCCAGCTCCAGGGCCCATCCTGCCTTGCAGCCTTCCATGCTCAGGCTGCTAACACTCCTCCACTCATTTTACTTGTCCTCGTATATAGTCCTTCCCTGTGTGGCCCTCCGTCTGGAGCCCAGTCCCTTGGGGCCTGGGACTGTGGCTTCGCTCTGAATTATCCCACAGCTTTTTTCCAGGTGCTTTGCTCACTGTAGGCAGTGAATAGATGTTTACTGGCTGACTGAGCAGTAGAGAGGGAGCCTGGAGAACACCTTCCTTCAGAGCCCTTTGTGTTCTCTGAATCTTGGCACTAGAAGAAGCCTAAGACGTCATCCAGGTGATGGTTTTCTCACTCTGGTTTGATTCTGCAAAACGCTTTCTTCCAACGAGGCATTACATGAAAGCCGATGGGTAAATCAGATAAAAGCAGAATTTCTGCAGCCAAAGGCCCCCCCCGACTTGCACTCAGAAGACCTTCGGCCCCACTGAACTACTCTGCCCAATTGGAAAACTGCAGATTTAATTTAACCTCTTCTGAGGACCAGAAGATGGAAGGGTTTGCTCCTGTACGGTAGTCAACTAGAGAATAAAGATTAAAACTGATCTCCAGACCTCATCTAGCCCCCCTTTTTCGGTTGTCACTGTCAGATTCATTGAGTCATATGTATGTTAGGATTCCTCATCTCAAGTGCCCAGAGCCCAACCAAGTCGTTTAAAGAGGATTTATAAGCTGGTAGCACACTGGCTTCTTGCCTGGATGGATTCAGGTGACCAGGAGATGTCACGGCATCTGATTCTCACTGTCTCTCAGCTCTGTGTTCCACTGTGCTGGCTTCCTTCCCAAGCAGGTCTCCTCTCCCCACAATGACAAAGGAGGCCACCAGCATCTCCACCTCTCCTTCCTCACTAAAGCACTGAAGGTGAGGGCAGGGACTTTGGAATAAGGCTGACTACAGTTCAGATCCTGGCTCTCCCTTACTAGCTTGGTAGTCTTGGGCAAGGTATTCAACCTTACCAAGCTTCAGTGTCCTTGTCTGTAAAATGGGCACAAATTCTAATGCCCATATCATGGAATTCTATGAAGATTCCACAGATTGATGGGCACAACACCCTTTGCTCAGTTCCCAGCATGTGGGAAAAGTTCTTGATATTGCATAAACGAGATCACAGTTGTGTTTTTTTAATCTGAAAGGAAAAACTGGCCCCTAAATGATCTCTTACCACCTACTTGATGAGTAAGACTTTCTCAGTTTCCATCGGTTAAGTGGAGATGGTCTCCAGTTGTTTAATAGAATGAACTGCTCTTAACAGAGCAGGGTTGGAGGTGATGCTGCGTATTGTCTGGACTAGGCGATGTTGGGCTCTCGTGCAACTCTGGTATTTCAGGGCTCTCTTTCTTTGCCTCAAGGAGTTCTAGTGGCACAGTGGTTAAAGCATGGGGCTGCTCACCAAAAGGTTGGCAGTTTGAACCCACCAGCCACTCTGGGGGAGAAAGATGAGGCAGTCTGCTTCCGTAAAGATTCACAGCCTTGGAAGCCCTGTGGGGCAGTTCTACTCTGTCTCCTAGGGTTGCTATGAGTTGGAATTGACTTGATGGCAGTGGTTTTGTTTTGTTTTTTTCTTTGCCTCAGTTTACCTGTTATGTAATAGGGTGGTGTGGTAGTTAAGCTTATGTGTCAACTTGGCTGGGCCTGGTTTTGAGTGGCTGAGAAGATGGATGTAGTATTCCCCATGATGATGAGACTAGTGATCAGCTCACAGTGGAATCTACTGGAGCAGCTGAGTAGCTGCCTTAGGGATGTGGGCTGCTCCTAGTATATAAGGAGAAGCTTTGGGAATGGTCTACAGCTTTTGGCATGCTTGAATCCTGCATGTAGCCAAGTCATTGTTTAGCAGCCTGCCATGTTGTCTGCCAATCTTGGGACTCTTAATGGACTTGGATCAATGACCTGCCATGTGGTTTGGTAATATGAGGACTGTGCCTTGTTACTTGTCAACCTTGGATTTGTCAGCCTCAGCAACCAGCAGCTGCCTGAGTGAAGAAAGCCTACAGCTTCAGTGGGCCGTGAGCAAGAGGCAGAGCTGAAGCCCAAGGATGAAGGGCTCTCACCCAGCCCCTAGAGGCTGGCACTTTGAACTCAAGACTTACAACTTCCAAAACTATGAGAGAATAAATCCCTGTTTGTTAAAACCATCCCATTTGTGGCATTTTTCTGTTAGAACAGCACAAAGTAACCAAAACAAGTAGTAACTAAGTATGAAATGAGAATTAACTATATTTTCAAAGTGCTGTTTGTTAACATAGACTATATTTTCTGATTTTTTTTTTTTTTTTTGAATTAGTCTTCCTGAAATGTCCTTTTTGTTTTTCTAAATTTCAGATTCTTCTTTACTGCCAACCGGGTAAAGATTTATACCAATCAAGAGAAAACCAGGTGGGTGTCCCCCTAGTCCCCACCCCCTACCACTTCCAGAAGATTCTTTAGTGCAAAGATTGAGGGGGTGCTTTGCTCCTGACCTTACCTGTCCCAGCTTATTGTTTGTTTGTCTCTGAATCAACTCCGTGACTATAAAAAGGAGCCCTGGTAGTGAAATGGTTATGCACCCACCTGCCAACCAGAAAGTTGGAGGTTTGATGCTACCAGTGGCTCAGCAGTAGAAAAGACCCAGTGATCTGCTTCAATGAAGATGAAAAACAAGAAACCAGACCCATTGCCATCAAGTCAACTCTGACTCATGGTGACCCTACGTCAGACAGAGACTGGCTGTAATGTTTCTGGAAGCAGACTTCCATGTCTTTCTCCTACAGAGCAGCTTGTGGATTCAAACCACTGACCTCTCAGCAGCCAAGGGCTTACCATGTGCAACCAGGGCTCCTCAGGAAAGATTACAGCCTTGGAAACTTCACGTGGTCCTGGTGCTCTTTCCTGTAGGGCTGCTATGAGGCAGAATCACTCGATGGCACACGACAGCAAATCTGAGCCCTTTCATGAAGAGAAATAACGGGGAGGTTTCTGGGGTAGGCAGCAGTGGTGTCATGAAAAAATCTCTGGGACGGACAGAAAACCTGGGTTCTGCCCCAGCCGTGCCCCAGTGATGGCCTTGAGCTTGTCTCTCCCCTTCCATGAACTCCCGTTGCCACCATCAGATGCCCCCCATCATCCACCTTCAGTGAGTGGTAGGGAGGCGCACAGGAGCTGAGCGAGTGTTGAAAAATGAAAAGTATTAAAATATTAGATGAACATAAAGGGAATTATTATCAGTGCTTCAGAGTGAGCCTCCCTGTGTAATCGCCTCACTGAGCCCCTCATTCCTCTCAGCACCTCTGAAAGGAGGGCTCATCCATTCACTCATTCTCTCTGCATGACTTTATGAAGCACCTGCTCTGTGCCAGGCACTTGGTGTCTGCTAAAGATTCCACAGGGAACAAATAGGCACCAAAACCAAAAAACCAAACTCACTGCCATTGAGTCAGTTGTGACTCATAGCAGCCCCATTGGGTTTCCAAGGCTGTAAATCTTTACAAAAGATCACCCCATCTTCCTTCCACAGAGCTGCTGGTGGGTCTGAATCACTGACCTTCTGGTTAGCAGACAGATGCCTTATCCACTACGTCACCAGAGCTCTATAGGATAGGCACAGTCTCTGCTATGATGGATCTTACACTCCGCAGGGGAGGCAGATAATAAGTAAGCAAGATCATTATAGTTACAGCAGGATGGAATAGAAGTGGTGGCCAAGGAAGGCACCAGGAAGGTGGCATTTGATGGTGCCCTGAGAATGAGGAGCCAGCCTTGGGAAGAACTGCTTGCAGTACCTTCTAAGCAGAGGACACAGCAAAGCAAGTGACTTCAAGGCAGCCTGGAGCCTGGCATGTCTGGGGAGAGCAGTAGGTGGAACCCAGGGAGCACAGGGAGGCAAGAGGGGAGATGGGTGGGGTTAGCCAAGGTCAGGCATGTGGACTCTCAACGTAATGGAAGCCATTTGGAGAGATTTGAACATAAATTAGATGTGAACTGATTTAAGTCTGTAAATGTTCGATCTGCGTAGGTTGTGTCTATATCCATGGCTAATGAGTCTTCAGGAAAGATGTAGGAAACGAGTGTAGACATAGGAGACCAGTGAGGAGGCATTTGTAGTGTCCAGATCAGGGACAGGTGGTGACCTGGCCTAGGGTGATGGCACCGGGGGAGCCAAAAAGTGGACACATTGGAGATATGCTGGAGGTAAAATCAACGGAATAACAGTGGGTTGGATTTGGGTAGTAGATTTATGGGTTTTTGGTTTAAATGACTGGATGACTAGTGGCTCCATTTTCTGTGTCAGAAACACTGGTGGAATGAAAAGCAAAAGTTGTGCTTTGTACATGTTAGGTTTTACTCCCTGTTAGACCCCAGCTAGTAAGTGTCACACTTCGAGGTGGAAATGTTAGACAGGAGACATGCCAGCTGGAGGTAGAATTTGGGGACTCTCCACTCTGGTATTTAAAGTGGAGACTGAGTATGATCAGCCTGTGGGAAGGTATAGGTGGAGGAGAAAAGAGGACTTGGACTGAGCTCTCCATTCCACCACCATTTAGAGGCTGGAAAGAAGAGAGGGTAGCAAGGGAGACTGAACAAGGAGGCCGCGGTAAGCTCACGCCAGGAATGTCTAGTGTCTTGGAAGACAAGTGAGAAAGGATTTTAAGGAGGACGTGGTCAACTGTGTCAGATGCTGGTTAACTACTGAGCAGTTAAGATGAAGATACTTGAATTTGGTAACATGGAAACCACTGGCAACTTTGACAAAGAGCAGTTTGGTAAAGTGGGTTGAAGATATGATGTGAAGAAGTAGAGACAGTGAAGGTAGGTGAGTCATTTTAAGACATTTTACTGAAAACAGGATGGGGACTGGCTAAAGATGCGTTCAAGGGAAGGTTTTTAAAGATGAGAGACACAGCATGTCTGTGTGTTCATGGGAGGGGTAGCTGGTGGGAGAGAGGAAGGTCCCTGGGAAAGACCAGGAATGTAGGATTGGTGGCAGGAGTGATGAAGGAGAGCAGGGCAGAAGCTTCGGGGCTGGCAGATGAAGGCGCTCCCAGGAGGCTGTCAGGCCCCAGCATTGGGAATGAGGGACTGAGATGGAGGGGAGGGATCAAAGATTCCATAGAAGAATCCTGATTAAAAGGGGGAGAATGCAGAACAGAATTTCAAGTTCTCACGGACTCCAGACTTCCCAGAGCCATGAAGCTAGGATGGACCTCTGAAACTATTGCCCCCTAAGACAATCTTTCAACCCTAAACCAGAAGTATCCCCTGGAGTCTTCAAATCAAACAGTAGTTTAGCTTAACTAGTAAAGACCATCTGCCTTGAACATTGTGCTCTTCTAAGAACTATCTCTGTGGGATCAAATGGACAACAGCAACTGGAAAGATTAGATAGGAACCTTAGGGGACAGTGAGATTAGGTTAATGGAGGGGACAACTCAGAAAAGGAGGGTGGGGATGGTTGGATAACTTGGTCCATGGAGAAATTGGTAAGTGGATGTATGTTTGCCTTTATATAACAGCAACAACAATAGAATAATTAACATAAAAAATAATAATAGCAAATGTTAGCGAGGATGTGGGGAAATTGGAACCCTTACCAAAAAAAAAAAAAGAAGATTTGGCTCGGAGAGCAGGAAATTACTCTTACCAGGGAGGTGGGGTCAGAGCCCATGGCCTAGACCTCTAGGTCCCCCGTCGGTCGCATCTGCTGCCCCAGTCTGATGGTTTATGTTCTCACAGGCTGCATCTCATGTCCATGTTGTCTCTGCTTCTGCCTCCCCTCAGGACCTTTATTGGGCTCGAGGTCACCTCAGGGCATGCCCAGTTTCTGAACCTGGTTTCAGAGGTAGACAGAGTCATGGAGGAATTCGACCTCACCACCTTCTACCAGGTAATGAATGGGGCATTCTCTTCTCTATTGGCCCGTCTATAGCTGGAGTAAAACTATCGTGAGGCCCTCGTTAGAGGCAAACCAAAGAGCCCTTAGAATTTCCCCCACATGAAGTATCCTGAATGCCCACGTTGAGTGGACACACACCCCACTGAGGAGCTGAGGGGTCTGAGGTGTGGTTGGATGCAGCCCACCCAAGGTCCAGCATACAGAAATCTTGTGTTAGATCTCAAATAGGTAACAGAATGTAGGCATCCTCCTCCATGATGTATTCGTGTTTTATATTTTTACAGAGCAGTTTCCCCTAGTTCTTTGTAGTAAAGTTGACCTTCTGGGAAGAGTAGGAGCTTCAGGACCTTGCTGTGTCTTGGCCAGTGCCCCCTGGGAATATTTGGACTCCATGTTGAATATCAGGGCTTTAAAGGGCCATTGGTTTTACTTGGTACATTTTTTAAAAGCCAACTGAGATATATCAGTATGAATTTGACTGGAGATAGTTATCTTTTCTTCATAATTTTAGACATTTTTGTTTTTAATTCTTGAGAAGAAGTATGACATCCATTGATGTTTGAGATCAGGAAATAGAGTCGGAGTCTGGGTTCTCTTCCATGTCCCCAAATGACTCTGATAAGTAAAGAAATGCCTCTGAGGAAAGGACCAACCCAGGGCGATTGTGTCTGTCTGTGGAGGGTGTGTGGAAGTGACAGTCTAGTCTCGTGGAGTAGGCAGAGATCCAGGCAGCTCTGTCAGACCTGCAGCAGTTCCCTGGGGCTGTCTGGGTGACCACCTGGGTCCCTGCTGTTCCTCGCCAGGACCCTTCATTCCACGTCAGTCTGGCCTGGTGTGTGGGCGATGCACGTCTCCAGCTGGAAGGGCAGTGCGTGCGGGAACTACAGGTGACGACTCAGCAGGGGTGGGGTGCATGCTGGGGAGGAGGGCGGGGCAGCCAGCGGGCCTTGAGGGTTAGGAGTCCAAACTGGAATTCCCGGGACACTGATGACATTGCAGGAGACCTCAACACCGCACCTGGCACCTCCAAGTGTGGTCCCGACCTGTTAGCAACACAGATTCTGGCCCCACCCCAGACTCATGACTCAGCGTCACATTTTAACACACGCCCCCAGAAGAGAAGCACTGCTCTGGAACGCTGATCGGAGAGGATGCTGCAGGCCTCCCGGAAGCCCTGGCCTGTCATCCAGAGGTCGAAGGGTCGGGTGCCCACAGGGGTCTGGCAGACATTGGGAATGAGTGGCATGCCGTGAGCCCTCGTGGCCTGTCTCGCACTGTGATAACTGGGTGCAGTTGTCCGTTTCCCTGGCAGTGCCTTTAGAGGACAGCCGACAGTGCATGGCGGCTGAAACGTGCCCTCTCGGGAGGCAGTGGGGGCAGTGGGGACTGTTGCTGGGCAGAACATGGACCTAGTGTTTTTCAAGAGAAGCTGGAAATCCAGGTTTCCATGTGTATTCTACCTATTTTCAAATGTTAGTGACTAATTAGAATTTTTAAATAACATTTTGAAGTCGGACACATGCAGCCTGGTTACAGTCCATGGGCATGTCACGTGGCGACCTTTGCAGTCAGCCTGACCGTGCTGGGGCAGAGCGTGGGGCCAGGTCCTGTCCTGGGTTTAGTGGTTCTGTAGTCCGCTTCTCTGAGCACCTTATCTATAAAGTTGCGACAATAGGACTGACCTCGTGAGATTACAGAGGGTATCAGACGGGGTCACAAAGGGCAGAGCCTGGAGCCCATGTGGCCCTTGGTCTCCCCTCGGCCTCGCCTGCCTTCTGAAGGATTCCTGTAGACTGGTTTTATTTGCAGTATCCTCTGGGTCCCTGATTCCTTTAACGTAACTGTCCCTTCCTGGCTCCTGCTTTAAGGAAATCGTGGATGAGTTTGAAGACTCTGAGCTGCTGCTGCGTGTGCATGCCAGGCCGATCCGCTGCAAGTCTGGGAACAAGTTCTTCTCTCTGCCTTTGAAGTGATCGCAGAGGACCCCCTTGCCCAGGCCCGCCTGCAGGCCAGCCAGAAAGAGAGGAGCCTCTAACATGGGTGGAGATGCTCCCATCCTCCCAGCAGGAGGCCCCAGTCATACCTTCTACCCGGCAGGAAATTAGCTACTCCTGGAGGGCCCTGAAGGAGCTCTGGTGGCAGTATCTGGGGCATTTGACTAGTAACTAGAAGGTTGGCAGTTCAAACCCACCATCCACTCTGCGGAAGGAAGACCAAGCAATCTACTTTAGTAGAGATTTACTGCCTCGGAAACCCAAAGGGGGTCGCTATGAGTCAGAATCCACTCGATGGCAGTGAGTTTGGTTTTTGGTGGGCCCTGGGTACGCCTGTGTTGTGGTCATTCCCAGAAATTACCAGTAGAGGGCAGCCTGGGCTTCCTGGGTCCTGTTTTGTGGTTGTGCCACAAAAAAATGGGGTCACCAGGTGATCCCACCCACACTCTCAGCCAGAATCCCTGCTGCACAGTCCCTCTAACCAGCAGCCCCTCCCTCCCCGCCCCACACTCCCCTTGCAGTTGTTTGCTTTTTCATGCTGTTGGCCTCAAATCAGGGTTTTTTAATCATGTCCTGGCTTGACCCTGTTCAACCCAGACCGGGACAATGGGGTGCTACAGGGGGTCCGCCAGTTCAGGGCCTAGGTGCAGGGCTCTAATTCCTGGTCCAGTTCAGGACCAAGGTGCGGGGCGCTAATTCCTGGTCCAGCACGTTTTCTGCATTCCTTCCTCCCATTAGCCCCCAGCCAGGTGCATGGGGAGACTTCAGCAGATGTGTGATCTGGCCTGGCTAGTGGCTGAAAGCCAGGCCTCCAGCACTCTGTGACCTCTGGCTTCCCCACCAGCTTTCCCAAAGAGGCAGAGAGGAGCCTTCCCGGGAGAGGTTCTCTGCTGCCACCTCCTGCCTGCTGCGGCCATTTGGAGAGGGAACGCGTGGGGGGCAGGGGGTGCACAAAATCACCAGGGCAAAGAAGCAGCCCTTCCAGTCACCACCTGGATCTCTGGTGGTGGGTGGAGATAATATATATTTTTTGTATGTAATAGCTTTAAATTATGTTCAACAAATAAAAATTAGTTTTTGTTGTGGATTTTGCTGTGGATTGCTTCTATTCAACAAGGTGTGCAGATGGCTTTTCTCTATCCCTGTGACAGTTTTGGGGGCTCAGGAGTCTCTGATCTAACTTCTAAGGTGGCCTTGAGAGGCATTAATGATGCTCTCAGAAAACAAGGGTGGTGTCAGCTGACCTGCGGGGCCTAAACAGGAGAGATGAGCATCTCACATCTAGCCCAGGGCTTGGCCCGTGGCCGGGGTGCTGTCCCCACTCCTCATCAGTGTGAACACAGATTCCTTATACTGCTTGCTAGTCACACTTCCAAAGGCTTTTCTAAGATTTCTCTGTTCCTTCCAGTAACCCCTGAAAATCCCCGGTGGAGCACTGGTTAAGTTCTTAGCTGCTAACGGAAAGGTTGGCAATTCAAACCCAGCCAGCAGCTCCACAGGAGAAAGACCTGGTGATATGCTGGAAAGATTACAGCCTAGGAAACCCTATGGGGCAGTTCTGTGTCACTAGGTCTCTATGAGCTGGAATCTATGGCACCCAACAACAACCTCCTGAAAAGTAAACTGGAACAATGATCATTCCCTTTAGACAGAAGGAGGAGAGGCTAAGTGACTTGCCTGGGCTCCATGAGACAGCACAGTGAGGCCTGACTTAGCCCCAACCTCGTGGGCTCTTCAGCCCTGCACGCTGCCTGCGGATGGGGTCCAGCCTGCAGACCCACACAGCACCTGAGGGCCAGGTGTGGGGAGAGGGCATGTGGTGCAGGCCCCTCTGCCCCCTGGAAGCCTGCCTTTGCTGAAGACCCAGGAAATCACAGTCTGTGCCTTGTTCCACCACACCGCACTGATGTGCTGATTCAACTGGTTGGTCGGTTCTGGCTTTTGAAGTCACGCTGGAGAGGGAGAGGCTTGCGAGGAACACGGCAAACTGACTATGCGGCCAGCACTTGCCAGCACCTGCTCTGTGCCAGGCCCGGGAGTGGGCAGCTAGGTGAACAGACTCGGTCCCTGCCCTCTGGGCGTTCACAAGTCGGGCAGGGAGCCTGGAGAAGAATCCCCATCCCCAACTTCGATGCCAGTCAGACAGAAGTACAAACGAAGGTACCCCCCTTTTCCTCCAGGTTCCAGTTTCAGGATGGAAGCCCAGCCAACAGCAAGGCTGACTCTGTGGGGGGCACAGACCACCAGACTTTCCTCATCAGGACCCGAAGGCTTGGGCACACATGCTTGGCTGCCTTCTTGGAAATTGGGCCCAATATGACGTAGTACCACCATTAACAACCCCCAGGGGGACTGGCAGGGCTGGTCCAATCCATGGGGGAGGATGTGGCGTGGAGAGCCTGTGTCGAGGATGGAATCAAGAGTGCAGCAACTCTGAGAGATGGCCAAGATCAATAACGGGCTCTTCGGTGGAGAATGGAAGGTGGTGATAGAGGAAGGAAGTAGGCGATTCGCTGAGGGGGGAGGGGGCTGCAGGCTGGGCCCAGGCGGCGGGCTTGGCAGGCACCCAGGCCTGAGTGTGCCTCTGAGGAAGAGCTCATTCAGCAGGCGCTCCTGCTAACAGCAGCAGCAAAGGTTCTTCCATAAGAGGAGATGTGCTCCGTGAAAGCTGGGAGACAGGAGGGAAGACCGGAGCAGGCGGGGGTCCACCCCTGGGCAGGCTGGCGTGTAATGAAGGCATGCACTTGATGGAGGGTTTATCACACCAGGAGAGTGCAAAGTCAACACATCTGGCCCCGCTGTCCTCAGATGTTCCCTGCAGGGCAGGCAAATGATCATCTCTTGGCCTGTTTGGCCACTTTCCACCTGGCACTCCCTGCTCTCACCACATGCCTCTCTAGACCACCCCAGCTTTGTTTCCAAGGGAGTAGGAAATTACCTCCACTCCTTTGTTTATTCCTCCTCTTGGCACTAGGAGTCCAAGCAGGGCCTCACCTTTGATGGGGTGCCTAGTGCACCACCCCGTGGAGCCCTGCAGGGGGCAGCCTTGAGGGCTCCAGCCCATAGGACCTTTCCATCTCAGACAAGGGATCCGGTTGGTAGCTACCACCTGGGCCAGAGCCCTCCTTTCTTCAACTGAGGAAAGAAAAGAGAAATGTTCAAGGTTCTCTAGGACATCAGCAGTGCTGTGACAGGAACCCAGTGACCTGGCTTCTGTTCTATTCCAGAGCCTTCTATATAAGCCCTCACACCAGTCAAGGTCTCAAAATGAAACTGGACTACAGGCAGACATAATGTCTGGGCTTTTCTTTAAAAGACTCCAAGAAGAACAGGTAGGGAGGGCCCACAGTTAGGGTAGAGATTAACGGCATTGGCAAAATGCAGGTGATGTTTGGAGCTGGTTGATTGACAGGCTGAAGTTCACACACTTCTTGGCACTAGGCGTCCGAGCACTGCTTCACCTCAGGCCTTCAGAGTTGGCCAGACCCAGTAGAGTGGGTGTGCTCTGATGACAAACCCACCGCGGTGCCCACAGTGCCTGTAGGGACCAAAGCAGACACTGGAAGCTTCAAGGGCGGGCCACCCGGCCATGCCACTTCCTTACTGTAGGATTTACCCCAAGAGAGGAACTTCTAACAGGGAGAAAGTTACAGAATTTGTTTGACCACAGGCCTGTAAGAATACTGTTTACACTTCCTGGGCTCCTCTTTTTACGGATTGGCCTCATAAACCCAAACATTATATTGTGAAAGACTGCAATGTGTTTAATTAAATAGAGAAACCTGTTGGTTGTCCATTTCTGACAACCACTGTACCTAACATTTCTTAAAGCAAATTTCAAAATGAAGAATTTAAAAACTTCATTTCATTTCCAAAATGAGGGACTCCACAGAGAAGTCAGGCGGTGGAAATGGAGGAAATACCCTGACCTTAGTTACTCTCCATCAAGGACAGGGTAAGCTCCACCGTCAGTGCTTTCTCTTCGTCTTGCGGGTCAGTATGAACAGGT